GCTTGGTTCCGGTTCTGATGAAAACTTTTTTAGTTCCAGTTCCACCCATGTCTAGTTACAACATACACATTCATATATAGATATATATTCCACAAACTTCGTACATCTTAATCAAAACAATATATATGAACAATTTACACTTGAGACCAACACTGAAAATAACAACGTTGGTGAGTCATACTTAGGATGCCGTTATTGCGCGGAAAAAGCACATCGATTCAAATGACATGAGCGATAGTTATAGTTAATTTAAACTAAATTGCAGCAAGTACGTGCAGTTTTTCAAGCGCTATCTAGTGGTACATTTAAAGTTATTTTTCGATGTGTTTCAGGCAGACTGAATAAGTTTTTATGTAAAGTTGACTATTTAATTAGAAATGCAGTTTTTATCTGTTTTTTATCTGTTCATAAGTGTTTCTATCGTTTGATAGTGAGGCTTGAGGTCAAATCTGCTATTAAAAATACAGCCGAGACATAGGGCTATCGAATGGTAAAAAACAAATTTTCCTATCTTTCTTCCTTTAGGAGATAATGATGTTTCAAGCTTTTATTCTCTCTTCGTCGTACGAACATTTTTTCACTAACTCTACGTGACTATAAAATCCAGTTAATTGCTTCATTCGTATTTTGGATGATTAGTAGCGTGCCAGCAATTGCCGTTATACAATTCGAAAAGTGTCCCTGATCGTTGGAGAAAGATACAGCGACTTTTTAAGGACTTTATTTCTTATCTCATTCGATGAGTGTCTATTATGAATGATAAAAGCTATCCAAGCACATAGAAGTTAGCAAAAGACTGTCAGTTTCTGTGTTCAACCATTAGCTTAAGTTTTTATGTTAACCTCTTTTAATTTCTCAGCAATTAAAATCAGCAATTAAAATTTGAATCCTTACTGGGATAAAACACAGTTATTTCTCAATATGTTTAACATCTAACTCATGAGAATCTAAATATTTTGATTTATGGCCTTTCATATATATTTGTTTCTTTTCAAAATTCAAAGTAGTTCTATTCATGTATAAATTCATTAATTGTTCTATTGTCGCAATTGTGCTGACTAAGATATCATGAGGTTTGCATGAAAGGACTCAAGATGATGTGTCATTCAAGAAGATGACTGATCGAAAAACCGCATTAACGTAACATTCACTATTAATTCTGTTCTTAATTTTAAGACATTCATGAGCTATGAAAACTATGCCGAGATTGCTTGTCTCCCATGCTATAAGAATATCTATTGCTAATCGTATCTTTGTTCGACATGTAGGGATGTAGGTGTGTGTAATGTTTTTATATTTTTCTTCTTTTTCTTTTGTCTTATATATGAATGGATTAATTATGAAATTACTATGCGTTCCAAAATACAATGATCTCGGATATTCGGAAAATGACTTCACGAGAGGCATTTTTGTGAAAAACCGGTTTTTCGCCTGTTACTACCCAAGCAAAAAATCATACATAAAAATATCTAGATATTTTTTCGTTGTGTTGGGCAATACTGAATATGAAATATTTAGGTATAGGTGTCATTGGGTTTATCTAGATATATTGGGCACGGTATCTAGTGCATCTCGATATCGTCTCAGTATATTGGGATGCAAAAAAAGGCTGGTGTAAGGAGCTACAGTCTCCGATATATTGATCCGTTACAGACCAATATATTGACTTATGCATCGACAGCATGAAGGATGCTATCTACATTGCACCCCGGGATATCTGTATGCGGACATCCTGCTTTCTGTAATATATTAGTCTATTCTTGCTCAATATATTGTATTGATATGAATATTAACTTTGTGAATTTATCGAGTATATGTGTTACATATATAGGTGCTGTGGCTGCAAAACAAGAAGATGGATAATTCGAACGTCGATATATCGAGTAATATAGTGCGCAAGTTAGATATACTGGGTATGGTATTGGGTTATCTAGATATATTGACCACTGTATTGGGGTTACCTAGATACCCAAGCAGAAATGCTCTACAGAGAAAATCTAGCTCAATCGACTACATAACCGGGCGGTTATTCACTTGTTATATCTAGATAAATGTACCTTTTTACCTAGTTAGCTAGCTCCAACCGCCCGATTCTAGCTCCATTCTTTTTGCTTGAGTAGGACTGCCCCACTTTTTATTCGCTTGGGAGATGCGTATAGGTCGATATACATTAGTCGACTCAATTTTTGATATTGATTCCGAATATGACATCTCTACGGCATAAAAGGTGACTTCTGATGAAGAAGATTGAGAATTACGAGCAGAATTCTGGCTCTTTTGCCTCTAATTGAGGAAAAAGGAATTTTTTCTGCAACGGAAAGGATTTTCAAAAAAAGCGATTCATGCTTTTGTTGCTCGTCAAATGGCGATTTGAATGGCATACGCCTTACTTACCAATAATAGCACCCACTCCGATTGTATTCATATGAAAAAAATTCAGCCAGCGGTCCGTCCGATTTTTCTTTTTGTATCTCATCTTCCATTTCATCCTGTGTCTTCGTTAATGTTAATCGATTCCAGACCTTCTTAAATGATCCTAAGACACTGTGGTCGTTTATCATCATTGTTAACTATCTGGCACACGAGATTTGTTTTCAGTTGTTGTAACGTATATCAGACGCGAATCATCATGTGGATAATAGAAGCTAGTCGCTTGTCAGTATTGATATAAGTTTACAAAGACAGTTAGAAAAAATCATTTAGGAACACATTTAATGCAGTCAACCGAAACAGATTTCAGTCTGCTCGTGACAATATAGACCGTAAGAATGTATTTATTCACTTACTCTTTTCTTTTTCATTTCACTTTGGGAACATGGATAAAACCAAGTGACTAATCTGTTTCGGTTGGCTAAAATCGATTATCTTATAGGTATGTATTCCTATATGATTTTTTCTAACTGTCTTTGTAAACTTATATCAATACCGAGAAGCGACTAGCTTCTATTATCCACACGGTGATTCGCGGCTGATATACGTTACAACAACTGAAAACAAATCTCGTGTGCCAGATAGTTAACAATGATGATAAACGACCACAGTGTCTTAGGATTATTTAAGAAGGTCTGGAATCGATTAACATTAACGAAGACACAGGATGAAATGGAAGATGAGATACAAAAAGAAAAATCGGACGGACCGCTGAATTTTTTTCATATGAATACAATCGGAGTGGGTGCTATTATTGGTAAGTAAGGCGTATGCCATTCAAATCGCCATTTAACGGGCAACAAAAGCATGAATCGACTTTTTTGAAAATCCTTTCCGTTGCAGAAAAAATTCCGTTTTTCTCAATTAGAGACAAAAGAGCCAGAATTCTGCTCGTAATTCTCAATCTTCTTCATCAGAAGTCAACTTTTATGCCGTAGAGATGTCATATTCAGAATTAGTGACGAAGCGAACGATGTGTATCTCTATCATAAACGACTTAGTTTTCGTATACGACTTTAGTGTACGACTTTAATACCTTAGTTTTTGTCGAATTTTCAGGTTGAAAAATTGTCTCGATTTTCACCAAAAAATGAAACTCGAAATTTCGAAATATACATTAGTCGATTCAATTTTTTGATACTGATTCCGAATATGACATCTCTACGGCATAAAGGTTGATTTCTGATGAATAAGATTGAGAATTACGAGCAGAATTCTGGCTCTTTTGCCTCTAATGGAGAAAAAAGGAATTTTTTCTGCAACGGAAAGGATTTTCAAAAAAAGCGATTCATACTTTTGTTGCTCGGCAAACGGCGATTTGAATGGCATAGTTCTATGTCTTAACAGAAAAAAACTACATAGACTTGCAAAATTAGGTAGCACAGTCGGAGTGATACTGTAAGATGGATTTTTAGAATGGACATATAGTATGTGATGAACCTCTTGACAACATTTCTAGACTCAATTTTATATGAGGAATCCGAAAATCATATTGGTCAGAGCGAAAAGTGGAATGATAAAGAATTTAACGTTGTTTTTCCATAAGTAAGCTTTTCGCGAATTTTAACACCCTCTTAGTATTTTGTGTTTATCACCGTGACAACTTTGTCGAATCGAAAAAGCAAGGATATATTGATGATTAGTGTGAAAAACTGAATCTAGGAATGTATGTTTAAGATAAAGGTAAAAAGTACTGTAACTTTTAATTATCGGCGTCTGACAACCAGAAAATAATCCCTCGCCGGTGTTACGTTTGTTTTTACTTTAAGGTGCTGGCATCTTTGTTTTGAGTGGTAATGTCGCAGCAAATTATACTGGTCCGAGCATAATTCTTTCATATCTCATCGCCGCTGTGGTAGCCTTTTTGGCTGCTTTATCCTTTGCTCAAATGTCCTCGATGCTACCGATATCGGGGTCATCGTACAGCTATGTTTATATGACGATGGGTGAATTTTGTGCATGGTTAGTCGGTTGGGATTTATCCTTAGAATATGCATTCGCTGTGGCTACCATCAGCGTTAGTTGGTCAGCTTATGTCAGGTCATTTATTGAGATGATATTTCATATTGAAGCTGATCAATGGATTTTATTGGCACCAATCAGCTGGAATCAGACAACACAATCTCTTTCTTTAACCGGTTCATATTGCGATCTACCGGCCATAATTATTGTCTTTACATTGTCAGCCTTACTACTATATGATCTTCGAGCAACTGCTATTATCAACAGTATCATCGTTGTTTTTAAAGTTGTTGTTATTCTTATTTTTATATGTGCATCAATTAAGTTTATTCATCCAAAGAATTATCATCCATTTATTCCTGCATTTATTCCTCGAGACAAAGGCGGTCCGAAATATGGGGCCGCTGGACTGTTTCATGGAACGACGATAATTTTTTTTTCTTATATTGGATTTGATACAATAACAACAGCAGCACAGGAAACACAGAGAAACAGAAAAAAGTTGTATTTGCCACTGAGCATTCTGACATCGTTAGCTATATCAACTATATTATATATCGGGGTTGTTTCCGTATTGATTGGTGTCGCTCCCTATGCGGATCTATCCATTAGGAGCCCAATATCAGCGGTTACTGATCATCCATTAAAATCGTCCGACTAAAATCATCTCTTTTCAACTTCTCCGCTCTGTGTAACCTTGTTCATGAGTGGCTTTCGGAGAGCTCTTGCTCATTGTGCTCGATGATCTCCATGCAGCCACAGCGCTTGATACGGAGGTTTTGACCCATGTTGTAGGTTCAAGTGAAATTTTTTCTGCATGTTTTATTGGCGAAATAAATCATTGAACTGTTTAGGAAAATTCTGTATAAAGAAAGACTTTCTGAACCTACAGCTCCTCTTCCCCTCCTGCCCCTCTGGGTATCCTGTTTCAGCTCTTCCCTTTCCTGTTTATCTGAATGCCGCTAATGAATGATTCTTTGCAAAAGAAACAGGCATGAAATGGCTTGAAATTCTTGTTGATCTTGGAGCTATTTGTGGTTTGACATCGGTGATATTAGTTAGTTTGATTGCGCAACCACGAATATTGTATCGAATGTCTAAGGATGGTTTAATACCAAACTGGTTTAGCAAAGAACGTCATATATCAGTAACAGGTCCACCATCAGATATTTTAACCCCATCGGCTGATATAGCTCCTCCTATTGTAATACGAGCAACACCATATACAGCCACAATTTTTACAGGTATATTGTTATATCTACTTTAGTCTGTGTAGGTTTTATTCTGATGTCATGTATTGTCGTTCTAGGTACTGTGTGTACTTTGCTCAGTGGGTTTCTTCCAATTGAACTTTTGAGTGATCTAACATCAGTTGGTACTTTATTTGCGTATTTAATGGTACACCTCGGAGTAATCATCTTATTTTTTACCAATCGATCAGACAAGAATTCTGCCGACCGAGTTTCACCTTACTCAAATCAAAAGTATTTTGACTTTCCAAGTAAAACATTATTCATACCCATTATTGGTGCATTAAGTTGTATTCTTTTAATCTATACCAGTACCCAATGGACACAAATAAGATTTGGTATTTGGACAGCAGTTGGCTTAATTATTTATTTTGTCTATGGTATGAGCAATTCTAAGTTAGGAAAAGGCCCAACATCTTCTGAAGCGCCACCACGCGATCGACATGGTGACTTAAGATTAGGAACTGCGACAATATAAATCAGAAAGTCAAACAGAACTAAATGCTTAAATATATGAGCACTAGCGACAGTGAACTAACAGATTCTGACAATCTCCGGTCATCTTTTCCGTTCCATCTATACGCTAAACTTTACTTAGATACGAATAATAAACAACTAATGTATTCTCAAGGCAAGTTGTTCAGTTCATTGCATAACTGGAATTTATCGATCGTCTAACGTAGTTTTTGCTGCTTTAGCACAACAAAGTATGCTAATGAGTCAAAAGAGATTCCTCTGCATAAATGAATTTTAATGTGAAGGCCCAGGAGTAAAGAAGCAAAAACTTTCGATTTTTCGCTGAAAATGTTTCAATAACTGAAAACATCTAATGAAAACCAAGGATGTATGTCAAGTGATCGCAATGACATATTCGTGTGAACAGCAAGCAAAATGTTTTTTGAGATAAAATAGCGCTGCACAGTTGTTTTTATCCCCCTTTCCTTTATCTTCGATTATTACAAAACTCTACTACTACTATGCGTTCCAAAATACAATGGTCTCGGATATTTTTCGAATAATTTTTGACAGAAATGAGATAAAGACCTGCAGTTTTCACTATTGAATAACGAAGGCATTAAGACATCTTTTGTACGCCAAAACTTGTTTCAAAATTACTGAAAGTCCGATCTTCCAGAGAGTCATTGGAAAATCAGCTCCGTTCTCAAAAACCTAAGATACAGTGTTAGTCATTCTGTTGCATGCGTAAGTAGTCCGAGCGTTACTCTACAAATTATGCAAGTCCCAGCTCTCTAGCTATCGTCGTTTGGAAAGGGCTCGCTTCCCCGAAGCACGTGTCTATCTCCGAGCAGAGATCTCTGCGAATCTAGAAATGTATGGAATATAGAGCAACATTTGCTTGTGTAGAAATAAAAATGACTTGAAATAAAATGACGAGAGGCATTTTAGTGAAAACCCGGTTTTTCGCCTGTTACTAGCAGAAATTAAAATTCTTATATCTCTGTCAAATCTCATGCTGATTCGAGGAACCTTTCAGGATAGACTTAAAAAGCAAACCTTAAACGAATACCCAGCTGAAATTCATCTTTTTCGTCTAAGATTATGATTTATGAGCTGTTCTGAGCATATCCTGAAAAATTCCTTGAGTGATGAAACTATACTATGTCCTTCCTATAAGATTTTGATAAGAATCTTGTAGAAATCTTATTAGTTTCTTCTATAAGATTCTTTTCAATATCTTACGCATTTTCACGAACTCCTAAGATTCTTGCAGATATTCTATAAAATTCTTATATGAATCTAATATAAGATTTGATCTCTATGGGCAGCTTTTGCTGCTTTAGCACAACAAAGTATGCTAAAGAGATTCCTCTGTGTAAATAAATTTTAACTACTGGAGATTCAAAAGTAAACAAGCAAAAACTTTCGATTTTCCGGTGAAAATGTTTGCAACTAAGATCCAATAATTGGAATTATCCAATGAAAACCACTGATGTGTGTGTCAAGTGAGTCTTGTCCAAATTCCGTTGTCTAACTTCTACTGCCAAAATCCACCTAACCAAATTCCGATTGTCCAAAACGGAGTTTATCCTGTAATTGTTTCAGCGACATATAACGATCATGAAACATGCAATAGACATAAACTGAGTTAATATGTTGTAATGAATGGCATTCATTTAGAATATCTCTTGCACACGATCCAGCAACAATTAGCACGAAACTTTTAGTTTGATTTGGAATCGAACGAGTATACTCAAGAAATAGTTTTCATGATGTATAAAAGATTCCTTGATCAGTTATTTCTGATAGCGTAGTTTTTGTTTCTACTGGTTCCAAATCCATATTTTCATCAAGCCAAATTAATACAGTTTCTCTTGGCGGCAGTGGTGCTGTGTTAGTTTTACTGCTAATCCTGTCGGTGTGAGTATCCGCACCATAAAAACTGCTATGTCTGAATTGTTTGTCTCCCATGCTATTGAGGAATACCTATTGCTAATCGTATCTTTGTCTGACATGTAGTGATATAGATTAGGGATGCACCAAATCGATAGTTCGGTGGCCGAACGGTTCGCAACCGAACATGTTCGGTCACCAAACGGTTTGTTACCGAACATGTTCGTTCACCGAACATATTCGCTGCCGATCAGCGAGCCCTAGCTTGGGATGGTTGCATGCCTGATCTGGACTAAAGGCAAATTGAATGAAATTGAAGCTTTTGAAGGAAGTAACCAGTGAGAAAATAGATTAACTAAAGCACAA